CCCCTTCCCCTTCTGCTGCTGCCCCTCGCCTGGTCTGCATTTTGCAAAGCGTCAGAGGGTGCCGCTGGGGTTGCTCACGAGCCCCGGGGTTACCCCAGGGCCAGCGTTAGCCAGCCTGGGCCAGCGTTAGCCCCCCCGGCAGCGTTGCCTGTACCGGTCCATTGTAGCCTTCCCCGTGCCGCTGCCTGCCCCATCCTGAGTAGCAACCGTGGGCGCTCAGATTTCCGACGGTTCTTCCCCCCAGCCCCGGTGTGAACGTACGCGGGAGCTTCCCACGGGCCGTGAACACACCTCGAGAGACCCGAAAATGCGATTTTGGCAAGTTATATGCAGAAAGCAGGCACAGGGAGCCAGCGGGGAAGGAGGGCTGTGCTGGGGGGGGCTCCCCAGGGGTTTTGGGGATGCTCTGTGTGGGAGTTGGGGAAAAGCCACACTTACTGCAGGCAAACAGCACTGCCAGCGTCAGCGGGACCTTCATCTTCCTCTCACCCGGGCCTGGGAGGAGAAACAGAGGACAGACTCGCAGCCAGGCAGCGTGGGCCGGTCGACAGACGCTGCTGTGCAACCCTCGTCCCTCTGAAATCGGGTCAAATCCTCCCCAAAAAACTTGGGCGGGAGGAAGGCGTGCTGCCTCGCCGCTGCGTTGCTGCCTCCTGGCCGAAAGCAAACGCTTTCTGAAGCTGTCCCACCACCTGAGCATCTCCCACCGCCCGTCCCAGCCCTTTCGGCACGCGGGGCATCGCTTTGCAGCACCAGCGCAGCGGGTCCCACGGGGCTGCAACTCCCCGACTGCGTGTTTTATCTGAAAGCAATGACGCTTCATCCACCGGCGCGGGGACCGGCAGAAAGCAGCACGCCTGCTGCCTCCTCCCAACGCATCCCCCCCGCCCCGTATTTTTGTTTCCGCAGCCCGTCCCAGCCCTTTCGGCACGCGGGGCATCGCTTTGCAGCACCAGCGCAGCGGGTCCCACGGGGCTGCAACTCCCCGACTGCGTGTTTTATCTGAAAGCAATGACGCTTCATCCACCGGCGCGGGGACCGGCAGAAAGCAGCACGCCTGCTGCCTCCTCCCAACGCATCCCCCCCGCCCCGTATTTTTGTTTCCGCAGCGCGAAGGGCATTGCTGCCAGTCCCTCCTCCCGGGCAGAGCACTGCCCTCCCTTGTCCGGCCCGCGGGCTCCGAACTGGAAGCGCTGAAATGACTTGTCTGGCCCAAAAATGCTTTATGCTACGCCCCTTCCCTCGCCGGCCAAACCCCCCCTCTCCCTGTGGGCTGCAGCCCGGAGTGACGCAGGGGCTGAGGCAGAGTTTTTGAGAAGTTTGGGGTGGATGATGTATTTAGGGGGATTTCTCTCTCCCTGCCCAGCAGCAGCTCACAGAGGACCAGGGTGGTTTAAGCACGCCTTTTATTTTCACGTCGATTAA